ATATACGAGCGATATGTTGTCGAACTAAATACGAATTTACGTAACAAACAATCAACAGTATTAGTGATATCGTCATATCAAAGGTCAACATGACAGGCCATTGTGATATTGCTGCATCAAAGGTCAACAGTATTTGTGATATCGTCATATTAATGGTCGACATGACAGGCCATTGTGATATTGCTGCATCAAAGGTCAACAGTATGTGTGATCGTCATATTTATGGTCAACATGACAGGCCATTGGGATATTGCTGCATCAAAGGTCAACAGTATTTGTTATATCGTCATATTAATGGTCAACATGACTGGCCATTGTGATATTGCTACATCTAAGGTCAACAATAATTGTGATATCGTCATATCAAAGGTCAACATGACAGGCTAATGTAGTGCTGCATCAAAGGTCAACAGTATTTGTGATGTCTTATCAATGGTCAAAATGACCGGCCATCGTCATATTGCTGCATCAAAGGTTAACAGTATTTGTGATATCGCCATAGCAAAGGTCAACATGACAGGCTATTGTTATCGTGTTGTACCAAAGGTCAACAGATGTTTACAATGAAACGCTATTTGGATCGTCATCCTTTTCGAATCCTTTTTAATCCTCTGAATGCTGGAACTTCGTATGTTTCCATATTATGTATCACGTTTGTAATACTATTCAATATATTAATATGTACCTTACATAATATATTTGTTAGAGTTGAGTTCAGAAGCAAACGTTGTTTTAATCATTTACTTATATTCATATTTCTATTTTAGGTTGACCTTCCTATCACGGAATATTGCGGAGCACTGCACATTTTATTGAAGTGATACCTAAAAAAAACATGGCAACTTCAGATCAAGAAAAGGGTGAGTTTTATCGTTTCATATATTAATTCAATTCCTTATTATCGAAGAACTGATCAGGTCAAGTACAAATACCTTATGCAGTCCTTCAATTTCAATTTTTAAATGACAATAAATTACACTCTTCATCAGCCGCTTAAATTTTCATCAAGATTAGAATACTTTGCAGAAATGTTGGAAAAAATTACATGTGCAATGTATTCTACACAACATCCGTATCCGGATAATAATTTAAGGTACTTCTGAACAAATCTGTCAAAAAAATCAATTAAAACCAATAATGACATTAATGCAATAAACGTTAGTAAAATGTGTTGCTCATCTGAATATGTACGTTGTGAGCACAGATTAGCCCTTTAATTTTTCTGATATTAGATATACGTTATCAGTGTGAACATAATACAAAATAATTGTTGCAGCCGTATTGTCGTCGATAACAGATTTGAGAATCCAAGCGCGAAAATACTCTTTACAGAACATTGTGGTAAAAACCCTGTAAACTAGCTTCTTTTAGCGCACCCAGTATTTAACAGATTAGCGCATTGATGAATTAGTGCAACGAAAATATATGAATAGATGGAAATGTACAAAAGCATTAATTAGCGTTTTCATTATTTAGCTCAATAAATCTTATAAAATTCAGTTGGCAACGATTATGAAATCTTATATGACGCACTCTTTTTAGCAGGTGGGGGGTCTTAATGTGGGAGGAGCCCGGTTTACCCGAAGTAAACCTACAACGTCGGGCAGGTGACCTCACAACTTTTACAAACGATCGAAAAGCATGTCAAAAACGAATGACAATGCACCATTTAGATTTAGCGTCCTTCTATGACTCATCGATGACGTCACACATACACATGTGATTGGCTTGTTCTCGATTCCCCCAATTTTTAAAACAAAAATCGTAGGGAGAAGAATGTTGTTAGAAGGACTATAGTCTGTTTCTGGGTAGTTTTGACAGTAATTATCTGAAATTCATCTGTGTTTTCAACTATGGTTAATTAACTGTTCTGTGTAAGGTTTTGTAGCTGGAAGCTTATAATGTTCAAGAAGATATCATGTACGATATTAAAAGTTTTATTATAAAGTCTAAATTAAAAATATTTTGTATTCATTTTGTAGTGACAGTGATGCTGATATGACATTTAATAAAGTGTTTTATTTGATTTTGTGATAATTTTGTAGTTTAAACCCTTTATTAAGATATTCGTATAAAATAGTTATCTTTTAGCAATAAAAAACACGTTAGTTTTAATATTGTACCATTTAATGATATGCCTAAAATTCGAGGATTTACAGTTTTCTTATTATCATGTACAGTGTTCTTATACGGTTCCAAAAATATAACATATATCCTTAATTGTTGAATGTTTTATATTCTATACTATAGGGGGAGTGATCGTAAAGATCATAAACTACCTCGGCAATCAGAGTGTTCAAGTAGGAGATTGTAACACCATGCAGATTGCTGAACTGTTATCCGGAAAAACAGGTGTGTGGTGTATCTAACCGATGTGATCAAATCCGGGATACAAATATTTTTATCACGTAAAATGTTTAAATATCCTTTTTAAATACTTTTAAAGGAGTGATGATATTGACTCCACAGCATTCTTATAAAGTGATCATAACATATAACTAGTATATGTACATTGCTTTATGTTTGATAGTAACGTTAAGACATGCTTGGTACACAATGAATGAGCAGTTTGCTTTTTAGCAAGGTCATGTAATTGTTATTGGTGTTATGTTGGTTGATAACTAAAAATTGTGCGCATATAAATGCAACAGAAAGGTATAATTGTTGTAGGCATCGTGTATGTGTTTTTATTTCCATCAATAGATTGTCCGGAATTCTGTGTTTCTATTGTATCGTATTCCGTCAATGTACGTTGTTAACGTGTTAAGAAAATAAATGTGTAGTTGAAAAAATAGGTTATCTTTATTGCATCATCTTGGATCGCATAAAAACTTCATCTTGGCGAATCCAAATTAAGCATTAGGTGAGCTAATTACAGTTTTGTGCGTTTCTTGATGGATTTTTAAGGATTTACCCTTGTAATGTTTGACGGCAGTTGAAACAAACCTGGTGACAAAACGATTCGACGTCATTATTATCGATTGCATGGCGTCATGTTGACCAGTAATGGAAGACATAGAGAACATTTGAATATGATTTGAGATATTCTATATGTTCTTTATATAGATGCAAGGTATTATAGTATTAAAAGGATAATAAGTATATATTTCTGATTGCAAACCTGCTTGAAGTTATCAGTGGTAACTGTAAGTTTATCAAGGCATATTCATAAAACTTTCCATATCATTCCAGATCTTACAAAGGAAGGGCTTGACAGAGATGATCTTCTCCAGGGTTCGCTCAACAGTATTCTAAATCCAAAACATTCAAAAGCTCAAAATCCAATGCAACTCAAAAAGCTAGAGAAGAAATTTACAGAAACATTCGGAGACAATTTACCAGCAGGAAAGAAAACTTTCGCAAGTGCCGCGGGTATTTCCCTGGACTCATTCCTTCAAAGACATAATGATTCCTACGAGACATTCATTACATCAAAGGGAAAGACAATGGTGCAGCAAAGACAGACAAGACTAACCAAGTCTGATTTATTTTCCGGTGTCAGCAGTGAAACGCAGGTTAAAGACAGGGACCCAAAACATAGAGTCAAGAGGTGTGATACTGCTGGGAATATTGTTACTCAACAGAAAGGCAAAGCGCTTGACGGCGGTGGAAATCAAAGTGTGTCAATTACCGGACAAGTTTGCCAAAGCGACAATAATTCTGAAGAGTGGAAAACTGTTTCTAGTAAACGGCACAAAAAATTGACGAAAACAACGAAACAAAGCATCAAGTCAGGCGAACATAAAAGCATGGAAACAAAACAACACGAGTGTATAGACCCTTGGAAAACATTCATGTCACCTCTTCTCGAGAGGAGAAACAGACAAGATTTGAAGTTTGTGTCAGACGGGGGCATCTATTTCCAGAATTTCCTCTTGTTTACTATCGATGTTATAAGTATGTGGAATACCCCGAAGGAGGCTTCATCTTATATAATCATCGGTATCGTTGATAATGGAGCGGATGGATCAGTGCCTTACGCTATCTCAGGAATGAAGAAAAGTCGCACTATTGAACATTTCAAGAAAATCTTTTTGTATGACTGTATAATCGGCAGTGTTCCAGAGTTCTCATATTCTGAGGTATTGCTTGGAAATGATGCAGTGGGCGTCATTGAAATATTCAGCAGTCGAGGAAATCAAACTCCATGCGTTCTTAGCTGCGACCGGGAAAATAACGCTCTGACAACACGAGAAGGAGACATGTGGATTCGAAAGGGCGCATCGAATATTGTTTGCAAACCTACAGATGAAACTTTTGCAAAAGTGTATCGTTGGTTTGCAGAAAGTCATGTAGAGAATGCAAATCACACAGTCGCCTCTGCAAATGAACAATATCTTATGGAAGAAGCGAAGAGAAAAGAAGATCCGATTAATTTTGTTCATTTGAGACAGCCCAATGCAATTTCGAAGAATACAGCCAATGAATTAAAAGTTTGCACATCAGTGGATCAGATGCTTGATGCAGTAAACAACTTCCGCAAAGGTCATTATGTTCTCTTTGCTGGTGATGTACCAGGTGTACTCACAAACATTGATGCAATCGCATTGGTACCGTGGCTAACGGTTTTTGATTTCGATCCTTACAGCAGAGACGGTGGGCTTCTTTGTTCAAATGAAGAACCTCTGTCCAAAAGGACATCTCTTCAGATCACAACATGGAAAACAATCAACAAACCTGTTTCGGAGTATGGAACCAATTGGTGTTTCGTACGTGGATCAAGGGACGACCCTGAAAGCCGACAAAGTTTCCAAGAACCGGACGATCTTCGAAACTGGAGTCGTAAAATCAAACCATTTGTTGATCCTTACTTGGATAATATGCAAGCCTTTATCGCAGATTACACAGTCCTTACCTCAGTCGTGATATGGCCAAAAGACGAACAGATGCTCCCTCACATTCTGAAAATGGTAAACAAGCTAGATGAAAACATTGATCCTCCTCCAAAACTTGTTATTATCCTTGATTCAGAACCCAGTACAGAAGCAGGGAAAACAAGCTTTTGCATGTTGTGTGACGAACAGAACGAAAACTTAACTCTCATTCGAATGAAATTAAGCGATGTTCTCGATGGGTTGACTCGCACGCTTAAAAGATTTGAAAAAGCTCGTGAAAATGCATATGACCTTCCTGCAGCCGACCAAAGCGATGCCTGCATATCGGATAGAGATGTCTCATGGGTCCGAGAACATTTGAATGTCTTGTTCAAATCAAGCCCATTTGTACACGGAGAAAACGATATCGAATTCCTACAAGAAGAAAGCGACAATTTCCATCGTGGTGGAACACTAGATTGGCGCACTTGGTATGCATGTAAAGCAGGTCATTTTGATGCAGAGAGAGACATTTACAAAAACGGCAAGGCAGCCATTGAGTTAAATATTCAAAATAACAAATCAGGTATGGTGACTTTGTGTCATGCGCCGGGTGCTGGAGGCACAACGTTAGCCCAACGTCTTGCCTGGGATTTTCATGAGAAAGTTCCAACGGTGCATGTTAGGAAGAACAGCATCAACTTGATGGATATCGTCTCTAGAATTGAGTTCATCTACATTAAGACGCGCAAACCTGTTTTGCTACTTATTGATGGCGAAGATGAGACCAAGGTATTTCATCTGATGCAGTATCTGAAAACCAGTTGCATTTCAATCATACTATTTGTGAAGAGATGTCTTCGTAGACCCCAATCTTACAAAGGGGAACCTGAAAAGCTATGGTTAAGTGGCATCGTGTCTGCAATGGAAGCAAAGCAGTTGACGCTGAAGTTGACAACTCACTGCAAGGATGATGAAGGTAAGAAAAGGGCTCTGGTCAGACTGTGTAAGGAGACAGAGCAGGGAAAACAACACCACCTCATCAATTTCGGTCTCACTGTTTTCATGCATGAATTCAAGGGTGTATCATCGTTCGTAAAAGGCTACTTGCCTGTTACAGAGCACGGCACATCGCCTGCAATGGATCAAAAAATACTGCTTTATCTAGCACTTGCTTATTTCTATGGTCATTCATCAATCCCGTGTCAATTCTTCAACGAACTGCTCTGCTTGCCGGCAAACTATTATGTCGATCTGGAAGATTTTCCGCATCCGATCCAGTCATTTGTTGTTGAAGATGAAGGAGCAGGTAAGAAATCAAACATCCGGATTTGTCATAATTTGGTTGCAAAGGAAATCCTTGATCATATTTTGACAAGAGGAAAAAAATCAAAATACTTAAGGCAAGATGGACTTTCTGGACCTGCACGACACAGACTTGCATCTCTATGTCTAGATTTCATAAGCTATGCAAGTAGAAGGGAAAAGAGAAGTTCTGCCTCAGCAAATACCGTTGTCAACTGCTTGAAACGAATCTTCATAGTTCGGGAGACAATTGATATGACAGGGAAATCCGAACATCTGACCAGAAGGCCTCTTATTTCAAATGTTCTGTTGGAGATTGAGTCACAACCGCCGATGTTTTGCGAAAGAGCAGAGGTTTTAAAGAAACTTGCTGAAGCTTTTCCTGACGACCCAATTTTCCTTGCTCATCTCGGAAGATTTTATGCTAACTGCCTTCCACACAAAGAAAAAGAAGCCGAGAAGTGCTTTGTCAAGTCTCTTGAATTGTGTGAGGTACCTACTAAAGGCATAAATACAGGTGAAGGGAAACTATATGACAGATGGAAGCATTCTCTTATGTATATCTACCATATGTATGGTACGTTTCTGCTGAAACGAATCAAACGTGACACTGGTAATGGCACCTTCGACGATGTTGCCAATAGCTTGGAAACAGGAAAATCGTCCGGCAGCATAGAGGATCTCCTTGCCTTGGTACAACAAGCATGCTTGCTGTTCGAAAACTCCCGAAAGTACACGCCTGTTGGTCATGAGAGTGGTTACGGGTATACCGGCGAAATTGAAGTCCGTCTCCACTTGTGTGATTTCCTTCAAAAAGAAGAAACGGTCACTGTTCTCGACAACACACTTCCGGCGTGCACATCCACTCGTGAAAGAGCGGATGTCTTCATCCGCAAAAGTATCCCTATTATAGATCAATTGATCAACGAATGTACGAAGGAATCAACTGGTCAAAAGGAAATCGGATACTACATTAACAAGTACACCTGCTGGTATGATCGTCTGTTTAGAGGAAAGAAGGTTGCGTTGGAACATCCAGAGGATTGTCAAGACATTGATTCCTGTCGATTGAAAATTTCCATGACAAAACTCAGCAGCAAAACTGGAACCAGAAATAGCTGCAACATCATCGACAACATCAGGGGGAAAGGGCAGATAGACGACACCGTAAAATTGTATGAAAGAATTTTTGAAATAGTTGACCACTGTGACACGTATAGAGAGAAGAAGGCCCTTGAAACAAACCTGGTCGATTGGTTGAGAGCAATTAGACATAGGGAGATGACGGAGGAATATAGTATTGAGAAAGTTCTTGTAGAGGTGGCGAAAATCAATAATCTTCTTTCGTCACCAGTTTCGAAGTTTTACATCTTCGTCCTACAGAGTCTACTTGGATTTGGAATTTGCTCGAAGTCAGGACATGTCGATACCGGGGCTCTTTATGACGCCAAACAACTAAAGCTGGAACTCAAAGCATCTGGGAGTTTTGTACTGAAGCCCAAACACCCAAGGGAATGGGTAGGGAATTCTGAAAATGGAATAAAATGTCTTCTCCCTGGATCTCAATGCATGTCGCTGTTACAGGTTTTCAAGGGATCCATATGCCATCCGAACAAGAAAAGATTCGCTGGGTTTATCAATCTAGACCTGGGAGAAAACACGTGTCCGGTAGAAGTCTTCTTCATACCAGATGTTGTCAGTATGGCTGGCTCACAGCATGTGGGACGCAGGGTTGAATTTACTCTCGCATTCAGCATTGAAAATGGATACGAGGCTTTCCACGTGACTTATCTTAAGAAATACAAATGCACCAATTTTCCGTGCGGTGGAAGAGTTGAAATCACTTCAGCTGATGAGTTTGGAGTTTGCTGTGCTTGTAATCGGAAAGTGTGCAGAAATGACTTCTTTGAGGAAACAAACTGAGGCATGAATGTGAACCGGACAATTTTATCTGGAAAGCAAACAAAACGATGTTCCCAGTACTTTGTGAATTTTCTTCCAATTCCAATATTAGTCCGGTATGTGACAGAAGAGAATGCTAGGTATGTGTTGACACAATGTACGTATACGCACGTACTGTTTTCATGACTGAGAAAATATTACCACCACCAATATTAACTTTGTACACAGTAACCAAGTCACCCCCAATATGAACTTTGTACACAGTAACCAGATCTACCGTTTATTGCAAGGGATAGTATCTCTTGAAAGATTCTTTTTAAATATCAGCATCCGTGCCACGAATGCTTTACATATCGGGTGATAAAACGTGGCTCTACTTATATGTTGTTTGTAAATAAGGGAAATATCTTTTTTTGACATACATTAGTCTGTAGTTAAGATTGATCTGTTTTGTTGTACAGAATGCAGAAAATGTACACTTTAAAAAATGGGTACATATATTTTTTTTTGTAGCATGTACGTTTTTATGTACAGTATAGTTAATAACCTGGTAGGTGTAAATAGATCAGAGCATTTGTCCTGAGGTACAATAAGGAATTCCATCCTCGATACCCAGGGGTTACGCTCACTAACGCTCCCGCAGCGAGAGCTTAAGTGAGCGTAATCCTGGAATATCGAGGCTGACAGAATTCGGAAGCGGGAAACGTATGCCTTCTCCTTCCTTCGCAAAGGGATAATTATTCTGGTATATCGCACACCCACACAGTAAATTCAACAGAAGTTATTTATATAATTATATAGATAGAAATTAAGAATCCTCACAGATTATTATGAAATAAGAGAAAAAGAGGAACTGTTTCGTTTGTAGATATTGTTTGTGATGTCTGTGATAGCAGAGAATAGCGACAGTACAAACAAAGATAACGTGTAAACGTTCCAACGTCACAAGCCTCTTCAATTTGAGGTTTTGCTTAACTTTCTACTGTGAATTAATGTAAGTATGTTGTAAGTTTATGTACATTGTCTATCAAACTCAGATTGAGGTATAGGCTCAAAACTTTGGCAAAATGGTACCGTAAATGTAATTTCACCAGAGTTGTTTTATTTATCTGGTAGCAACATGTTAATATGTAATAACATTATTTGATTTAATATTAAACCTCATATTTGTAAATAATTACATTATATGAAATTACATGAGTTAGATCTTAGCAATATACAGGTATAGTGCAATCTGGAAGAACTCAGTGTTTGTAGAGAACAAGTATCATCTACAGACTATGAGTTACTCTTTCATGACTTCTGGTAACTTTTAACATGATAAGACAAAACAACCTTGCCAGTATTTTGAATACAGCATTCTCACTTCACAATCTATTTGTAATTGTTATATTTTTAAATTGTAAACAAAATATCCACCAAATCATCAGATTCCTTTACTCATTATACTTTTTCATCATTAGAAAGTTACTGAAGTTTTAATTCAAATTGAATTTAAAACGTTACTGTGTTCAAAACTATAAATCATTCATTCAACGCCATTTTATGTGGTGCACGCATAACTGTAATAGACAGAGAAACTTTGATTTTTGATTCCAAGGCTAACTCAAATCAGCAAAATAATATCACGCTAAAATTGTAAGTTTTATTAAGATTCTCAAAATTGGAAAGCCAGATTTACTGTAGTAGATTGTTATTAATGTTTCTTTTTATCGAATAATACATTTAACGTATTCAATACATGGAGTAGGTACACATTTGTTCTAGCACGGAATTAGATTGCTATCTAAGTCAGCGGTTCTAGTGAATATGTTTTCCCCTCTCAAGAGGTGAAAGTACTAGGAAGCACTAAGGAATTATTTTCATCATTTTTTTAAATATGTGTAAGCATTGTATTTATTCGTTGTTGTAACATTTCATTTAACAACTGTTAATTCTTTTAACAACTGTATTTTCTATTCTTCATGATTTTGTGAATTTCTTCAATTTCGTAAATACTGAATTTTGTGTTTGTCCTTAATTGATTTACAAACAGTGGAATCTACCATACCATTGATTTGTCACATCAGAGACGTATATTTTCTTATAGTGGTAAAGAGTTTTAAACGTGCCTCTGAGCGACATGATTAACCACTGTTTTGATAAATCAGAGTTCCCTTGCAGACTCAATTAAGGAGGCACAGGTAGTTCCTGTTTTTTAGAAAAAGATATTTTAGATAAACAAAACTACCGACCAGTCAGCATTTTACCTTGTATATCGAAAATTTTTGAAAGAACCATGTGTGATCAACTGACTGCCTTTTTTAGTAATGTTTTTCATCCTTTCCTTGCATCCTTCCGACCAGGATGTGGGTGTCAATCCACCCTGTTGCGACTTGTTGATGATTGGTGTAGAGCCCTGGACAACCATGAGTATGTCACTGCCATACTGATGGACCTCTCCAAGGCTTTTGACTGTCTTCCTCATAACTTGTTGGTCGGGAAGCTGGAGGCCTATGGCCTGAGCAAAGCCTCAGTTAACCTGGTGTCCAGCTACCTGAGCAGCAGGAAGCAGCAGGTAAAAATTGGCTACAAATGCGGTGACTGGCTGGAAGTGCTGAAGGGAGTACCCCATGGTTCTATTTTAGGACCTTGCTTTTTAATGAATTTGTAAATGATATGTTTTTTATATGTGACAACCTGAAAATTATATAACTATGCAGACGACAACACTGTCAGTGAATCGAATAAAGACCCATTATTTTATACATAATGATCACAACTCATCCTTCAGACACTTACTCAGTATTACCAACAGCGACAGGCTTCATGTTAGGCGTCTGAAGGAAATGGGTTGTGAGATTTTTAAAATTATAAACAAAATTTCTCCTGAATATATTCATAATCTTGTAAATATTAAGATGATTAATTATGCCTTCAGGAAACAAAATATTGCAGAGGTGCCCAGGGTCAACAATGTGAAGTATGGACATACACCATTTGCTTTTGAGGCCGCCCGGGTGTGGAACGGTCTCCCAAATGACTTCCGAAAAGTTGAAAACTTCAAAGAATTCAGGAGGCTGGTCCATTTCTGGGATGACCCCATCTGTCTTTGCAATATCTGCAAAGAGTGATACTTCATACTGTGCCCTGGTTACCTCTACCACCTGACATTTTGGATTGGTTATACTTTTATTGTCTTATTTCATTTCTTATATGTTTTTATTCTATTCTATATTTTGCAGCATCTTATTTGTGTTTTAATTCCATATATTCTAAAAAAAAATATTTATAAAACTTGATAAATTTTGTTCATTGATTTCGGTATCATTTTTAATTCACACTATAATAGTGTATATTCTGTCAATGTGTATTCTTTGCTATATTAGCATTGTATGTATATTCCACTTCATAGTGTTTTAATCCTAAGTCCTAAGTAATTCTTGTGTGATATACAAGTATTCATTCACTATTAACTATGTCTTTTATTTACCTATTTTGAATACTACTTATCTGTGATCACATTTAATGCTTTTCATATATTAACACTATTTTTATATATTTATTGTTCCAAAAGGGTCATATCCCGGGGGCCTTTGTAGGTACAGGACTCCCAATCACTTAGAAACCTAGGATATGTAAACTTTCTTTTTCTGTGATGATTATTACTGTTGTTGTTTGTATTAATATATGTGATTATCTCCCTTTACTCGTAATATAATATGTTATTGTTATTTTACATATGTTTGTCGCAATAATAGCTCTCAAGAGCTAATGTTCCTTGTTTACCTGTATGCGACGTTAAATAAAGTTTCTTGTATCTTGTACGTCCATGTGACGGTAAATATATTTATAAAAGAAGACACAAAGACAAAATTTCGCTAGCGCTTTCGCCCATTTTGTGGCCATTTTGTGGCTCTTTAGGCGATTTGAATTTATTTGTGACGTCAAAAATAATGACGTTATAAACAAAGTACACGTAATTCAGACGTCTAATAATTTCTAATAAAACGAAAACAAAAAGCCATCAATAACTTCGTTCATTTTTTCAATTTTTCTAATTTATAGTAGAGTGTTGGTGAAAGTGAATTTAAGAAATTTTTGCTGTATGTTTCATTAAATTGAGGCTGTCTCCTTTTTTTTAAGTACTATATATACCATATATATATCTGACATATAAAATCTATTTTTTTTATTCACAAAAAAAACATACATTTTTCAACAAATTTCAATTTTTATTCATTTGTGTCACATAAAATATAGGATATGTGAATTTCTAGATAAACACAGTACATGTATCTTGTAAATTTATAATGTGAAAGACAATATTATTGATATATAACATACTTTAAGCATTAACACCTAGATCCCTCTTGAATGCAATTTTTCATTATAATTCATTTTCAAAATCCACAGTTCCTAGCAGTGTTAATTTATACGTAATTATGTTTGATATCGGAGATGTTTTTCAACAATTTCATGTTCACGTTTGTCAAATGATGACTTGTTTAAATTTTCAGGTTTAATTCTGATTTGTTGCTTTGTAAGACAGATTTATCCATCGGTAAAAATGTTTTACATACAAGTTTCTTCCCTCAGCAAAAGGAATTGCAACAAAAGGCAACTTTTCTGTCTTGCGGTAGAGACCAGACATTCAACTATGGACGATAAATATCTTTTCTTAATTATCAAATAATAAACTCACTAAAACTTGAAGATTTTACGTTCTTCAGAATATGAACATATACTTAAAATCATGATCTTCACTCATTAAATATCCTTTGTAATTGATGAATAGAGTCAATAGTGAAAATAATCAATTGAATTGATTCAATCACATTGCAAGAAAAATAAATACACATGCATATGTAAATCTTATTGCTCCTTTTTCAAATAAAAAATAAAAGGAATACGAGACTTTTGGATATTTACAGTACATTATTGTTAATATATCACACATCACAGTATATACTTCTTAATCATAATATATTACAATCATACATCTGTTATAGATGTACAATAAATATGGACTGTTCACTTGTGAAGTAAACACGATCTTCTTCCTTATGTAAGTTTGTAGGTTTTGGCACTTGATCTTTATCTATTAAAAATTGGGCTACTAACCCAAAGAAACATTACACATGACTGTTTGTACATCATTGTCATATAAGTGTGACAAGACAGACAACTCCGGTTTTCTTTTATATGCCTTGATACCATACTAATACAAAACTGAATTATTTATAATACATGTATGTACTTTGACATATGGAGAAACATTAGGGTAGAAAATTCATCCATTTCCTGATAAAATACATATAAATGTACTAAGATAATTTTAAGTATAATGTCTAAGTAAATTCAAACTGTAGCAGATTAAATTTACATTACAAAACAAACAAAAAAACTACAGTTACAATAGTATATAAGAAAAAAATCCATATTTTAAAATATGAAAATCCGATATTGAAGACACAGAAAACAATTCCACAACACAAGAACGGGTTGAAGTCCAAAGACAATAAAACAAATCCACAAAACATGTAAGACAAAAAGTACAAATGTTTGTTGGATTTTTTCTGCTAAGATAATTATTCAACCAAAAGCTAGCACTTAGGGTGGCTGATAGATATTCCCTCATGTATGTATGGAGGATATTGGTATAAATGGAGAACAAATCCTACTATGATTTTTTGTACACAATGATAATGATCACATATCAATATGATATCTTGATAAAAGTTTATGAATCACAATAATGATATGAAGGAACACTTGGAGAAAATCATTAGTAATTTGGATCTTCTATCTGTGTTGTTGCTTTCCCAAATAAATATTCTTCAAATTTGGAGAGCTGATGTATAAATCCTCGATTTGGACGAACAGTTGAGCAGCATTGTGTCAGGTGACCATAGGCCTCCTGGGAAAACAAAAAATATAGATTTGTTTATAAAATATATTTGATACAATAAAATACGTACCTCCAAAACAGGATAATTCCCAGAGAAAGCATCAAGAATTATGGGTAATAAATTAACCCTTAGTTATATATTGTTAAAATTATTATTTTTTTGTTTATTTTTTTAGGGGTTTAAAAAGACCTCAAGGAGAAATAGAATTGTGACTAATTGAGTAACTACATTCTGTAAAATAAAGCACTGCTGATATTATCATTTTGAAGAAATATTGATTTCAAATTTTAGACTTTTAATGCATCTACATTAGGTATTTATCTATTATATTAATAAACTACCTTCAGTGTCCATTTAAAGTGGTGCATGAGGTAGGCAACGATCACGGTTGCACTGCGACTGATTCCCAGACTAGAAAACACCAGTACAGCCTCATTCTTCTCCTTGTGGGTATCTGTAACATCACAGAACATCTTAGGTCAATAATACTGAATTACCTCCCCTTAAAAAACACCTTAATCTTCAGATATGTTTAAAATGCTATAATTTTACAGACCTCTCAAGTTTTCAAAGCTTCAATACAGGCAATGATCAAATTGTATGCCAAAGCACCACCAATGCAGATCATTGTATATCACACCATAACATCACATTTTGGTTATTTATTTAAAACCTTTAAAACATTGGTGCTTTCTTAGTGCTACAATCGTTGATTTATGTTGTTAAAATTAGTTGACTAACATTTTATTATATTGTGTGTCATTTCATAACTTTTATTGTATCACAAATATATGTTTACTGATTAACGTTGTATGACATTGGTTGACTTACATTGTCTTTATAAACACTTTAAAGTTAGAACAGATGTGCATCGTGTAAAATACAGTATTAAAGTTTTAGAGGGTAATTTTAAATTTGTTGAAAACTGGTTGTTATTCTGAAAAATAAGCCAGGGGCAAAAGGCCTATGTTTTCCTTAATAAAATGTGCACCCTATAAACAATAACTGGCCTCTGTGTTTATTTTTAACTTCATGAAAACACAGCTGATGTTTTTAGGGCGACTTTGTATTGCAGAATGCAGATGAAGACTTGCCTTTTTTCTTGGCATATTTCACAGATGCCAGGGACTTAACATTACATTTCAACAAATTAAACAAAGTCACCTATTTAATTACCTATGAAGGCACAAGCATTCTGTAGTTTGCTGTAGAGGTCAGCCTCCACCTCATCATTGACCTGTAGGTGTAACAGGTGAGGTCCAGGCTCTGAAAAACTGTACAACCAGGTCAAAAATCAGACTGTACAATGTATTATAACAAATCTACTGTGCATTCTTACCTAAGTGGCATGGCACATATCCCATACCCCACAGTCAGTATCAATGTTTATTGAATAGTACACCCATATGTATATACAGACCATGGGGTTTGGGATCTGCTGTGGCAGATCCAGAGACTTATCTGGAGGTGTTTCCCAATTAACAGGGGGGTGGGGGGTTTCCATGTGGGGAAAAATTGAAGAAAATGGTGAAAATACATAATTTTTAAAGAAAATTCTTAGGGTTGGGGGGTTTCTTGAAGTCCAAAATACCCCTCTGGATCTGCCACTGTTAAAATTCACTGTTTCTGTGCCACACCCCTGTTATCCTAACTATCCTCGTTCAATATTTTGCCAAATACATTATGAATATACCAACAGAGTGCATTGCCAGTTTTTTTTTGTGTTTTTTTTTGGAAATAAAATGCAATGGTATTTTAAAACATTATTAGGGCAGTGGAAATAGAATTTGTTGCCAAGTTAATTATGTTGAATGGTAAAATACCAAATGAAACTGAATGTGTCAAATAAAGAACAAATTTTATTTACCATGTTTCAATTTAGCTCATTTACAGCAATACAAATTCAGTTTTCTACAGCTTTAAGCTTTAAATCTCAATACAAATTCATTTTTCTACAGCTTTTAGCTTTAAATCTCAATACAAATTCAGTTTTCTACAGCTTTTAGCTTTAAATCTCAATACAAATTCATTTTTCTACAGCTTTTAGCTTTAAATCTCAATACAATATTTGTTTTCACCAAATATTAATTTGTAAGTAATGAAATTTACGATTTTATGTAAATAAAAGAAAGCCATGTTACACTAGAATTATTTCTGCTTTCAAAACCTACTTACAATGTTTCTGACTCCAGGCAACAGTTGACGTGACCTTTAATTTTCAGATCTTTCTGTATGTATGGTGCATTTCCCTGGCGCCAGTTTCCCAGGTAGAGAAAGCCATGTATTATTTCAATGGGATAGGATTTCATCTCATCCATTTCCTGTCAAATGAAGATTCTACCTGATCACATTAAAGGTAAAATCATACAGAACAATTTTTCTATACATGTATTTAAGAAAAGTAAATATTTTCATTATTTTTCAATAATTAAACTCTGGAAGTTGATATATTTAATAACCAGGCATATTTTGCCCTAATGTTTTATCATCCCATTATAGAGACAAACAATTTTATTTTTTTGAGGGGGAGAACGAGTATATCATAAAAAGGTAACATGCACCCTGAACAGATAATATTGACCCCAAAAAACAAAAGCTTTTAATTAAATTTAAATTAAACAGAATTAAAAGAATAAAAAACAAGAGGCCCAATGGGCCTGCATCGCTCACATGGAATAAATCTCACACTTGTAACCTTAAAAGTGATCTAAAATAAAGCTACAGGCAAAATAAAATATCAGTATTTATGATTAAAATTCATTCAAAAGAACCCGTTATTTTTTTTTTAAACAATTCACCCCTGTGATTGAAAGTCGAACAAAGTCATTATGTTGAACAAATTTTATAGCCTTTCANTTTTTTTTTTTTTTTTTTTTATATATTTTGAACATATTTGCTCCTTGTGAGCTTGAATATGATTCAAGGTCATACATTTAAACAAACTTGGTAGCCCTTGATCCTAGTATGCTACTGACTAAATATCATGACCCTGGCCATTTTTGGTTATTCAGAAGAATTTGAAGTTTTTAACATATTTAACCCCTGTGACCTTGAATATGGGTGAAGGTCATTCATTTGAACAATCTTTGTAGCCCTTCATCTCAGCATGCTACTGGCCAAATATCATCACCCTGGGCATTTTAGTTATCGAGCAGAAGATGTTTAAAGTTTTTAACATATTTGACCCCTAGGACCTTGAAAATGGGTGAAGGTCATTAATTTGAACAAACTTTGTAGCCCTTAATCTCAGCATGCTACTGGCCAAATATCATCACCCTGGGCATTTTGGTTATCGAGCAGAAGATGTTTAAAGTTTTTAACATATTTGACCCCTATGACCTTGAAAATGGGTGAAGGTCATTAATTTTAACAAACTTTGTAGCCCTTCATCCCAGTTTGCTTCTGGCCAAATATCATCACCCTAGGCCTTTTGGTTAATAAGAAGAAGTATTTTAAAGTAAAATATTGACGCCGGACGCCGCACCACGGCATAAGCTCACTTGGCACTTCGTGCCAGGTGAGCTAAAAATCATCAAAATTTTGTAAATATTAGCAATTCAGTGTTAAATCATTACAAACCTTTGGCATGAACATAACTTTCTGTGTTCTGAGGAAAGGATACAGTGCTGAGAACTCCTCATAACCACCTGTTTATAGGGTAGAAAGCATGCAGTTTTGTTAAGGTGTAAGATTGTACTACTGAACATGCATTGGTTACAACAAGATTTAATACTAACATACAATACTTGAGGGTTTTTAGCATTTGTTTTGTTAATCAAAGACTAGTAAAACTGTTTGAGGAATACTTCCAGACTATATTTCAGCTTCAGATACCTTTCTCACTACAACTTTACAGGAGAATCAATAAAAGACTTAATGTTTAATAAGTTTCCCTTGTACTTTTACCAAGCAGTGAAACACCTGAATTTCAGGATAATCAGAAAGTCAGAAAAATAACCAGCAAACAGCAAGAAACATGTAAATAAACCCTTACACCCCACACAAACAGCAAGGAGATCAACCATACCCTACACACACTGCAAGGGGATCAACCATACCCTACACAAACAGCAAGGGGATCAACCATACCCCACACAAACAGCAAGGGGATCAACCATACCCTACACAGAAAGCAAGGGGATCAACCATGCCCTACACAAACAGCAAGGGGATCAACCATCCCCTACACAAACAGCAAGGAGATCAACCATACCCTACACAAAAAGCAAGGGGATCAACCATACCCTACACAAACAGCAAGTGGATCAACCATACCCTACACAGAAAGCAAGGGGATCAACCATGCCCTACACAAACAGCAAGGGGATCAACCATCCCCTACACAGAAAGCAAGGGGATCACCCATCCCCTACACAAACAGCAAGGAGATCAACCATTCCCTACACAAACAGCAAGGAGATCAACCATTCCCTACACAAACAGCAAGGGGATCAACCATCCCCTACACAGAAAGCAAGGGGATCAACCATACCCTACACAGAAAGCAAGGGGATCAACCATGCCCTACACAAACAGCAAGGGGATCAACCATCCCCTACACAGAAAGCAAGGGGATCACCCATCCCCTACACAAACAGCAAGGGGATCAACCATCCCCTACACAAACAGCCAGGAGATCAACCATACCCTACACAAACAGCAAGGAGATCAACCATACTTTACACAAACAGCAAGGGGACCAACCATACCCTACACAAACAGCCAGGAGATCAACCATACCCTACACAAACAGCACGGGGATCCACCATACCCTACACAAACAGCAAGGGGATCAGCCATACCCCACACAAACAGCAAGGGGATCAGCCATACCTTACACAAACAGCAAGGGGATCCACCATACCCCACACAAACAGCAAGGGGATCAACCATACTTTACACAAACTGCAAGGGGATCAACCATACCCTACACAAACAGCAAAGGGATCAACCATCCCCTACACAAACAGCAAGGGGATCAACCATACCCTACACAAACAGCAGGGGGATCAACCATACCCCAAACAAACAGCAAGGGGATCAACCATACCCTATACAAACAGCAAGGGGGTCAACCATACCCTACACAAACAGCAAGGGGATCAACCATACCCTACACAAACAGCAAGGGGATCAACCATACCGTACACAAACAGCATGGGGATCAGCCATACCCTACACAAACAGCAAGGGGATCAACCATACCATACACAAACAGCAAGGGGATCAACCATACCCCTCACAAACAGCAAGGGGATCAACCATACCCCACCCAAACAGCAAGGGGATCAACCATACCCTACACAAACAGCAAGGGGATCGACCATACCGTACACAAACAGCATGGGGATCAACCATACCCTACACAAACAGCAAGGGGATCAACCATACCCTACGCAAACAGCCAGGAGATCAACCATACCCTACACAAACAGCCAGGAGATCAACCATACCCCACACAAACCACAAGGGGATCAACCATACCCTACACAAACAGCAAGGAGATCAACCATACCCTACACAAACAGCAAGGAGATCACCCATACCCTACACAAACAGCAAGGGGATCAACTATACCCTACACAAACAGCCAGGAGATCAACCATCCCCCACACAAACCACAAGGGGATCAACCATACCCTACCCAAACAGCAAGGAGATCAACCATACCCTACACAAACAGCCAGATGATCAACCATACCCTACACAAACAGCAAGGGGATCAACTATACCCTACACAAACAGCAAGGAGATCAACAATACCCTACACAAACAGCAAGGGGATCAACCATACCCTACACAAAAAGGAGTATAATCTATAAGTAACTACACCTTATCTTTTCATTCTTTGATTGTCATCACTTGCTTCCTCAAATTAAAGAAGCTGTATTCAGCTTTGTACAGAACAAGGGAATACTGGAGGTCTAGTCCAATGAAACTGACAATAATTGTAGAAAGTGACTGGAAAATCTCACCTTAAAATAACACAACGCCTTCAGTATTTACTGATATATTGAGTTGCAGATAACCTTAAACCTGTTGGATAGTTTCAGGCTACTTATTTATATACACAGATTTTATTCTGAATATAGGAATGTTTGTATTTTGTCTGCTATGAGCTCTCTTTAAAGATAAAAGAAGTTTAGGAAAGTTAGATTTTTTTTGTTTAGGTAAAAATTAACATTAACAAATATGATATTAACATCCCTGTATCGCTCACCCGTTTCTTTTGTAATATGCAACTGACATATAGTTAACTTCAGACCAAATTTGGTAACTAGAACACAGACCAAATTTGGTTACTAGAACACAAGTCATTTTAACAACTCTTAAACGGTTCTGAAGATATTGTTGTTTGAAATTTTAATTTTAAAGCTTTTAACCGATGTTGACCTTTGACTATGGCTAGCACTTAAAGTTGACCTTTGACCTCATTTCTGTAATAAAGAAAAATATTCACACAGCTGGTCTACATAACATACCAAAGTATTATGACTCTAGTCGAAAGGTTTTTAGGATATTGTTTTTAACATATTTGACCCCTTTGAACTTGAAAGTAGGCCAAGGTCATTTTAATAAGGAACTTTATAGCACTCTATCCCACCTATCTACTGGTCAAATGTCATGACCATAGGTCCTCCAGTTCTTCAGAAAAAGTTGACAGACGGACAATAGACGCCGCAGTATGGCATAAGCTCACATGGCCCTTAGGGCTAGGGGAGCTAAAAACCTACTTTCATACCCTAACAAAATTTTCAGTTGTGGTTCTAGTGCTATATTGATGATATTCCATTAAAAATGTCTCATCATTAATTATATACAGGCTTTGATTGAATTTCTATTTAAAAAAAAAAAAAAACAAGGTCAGGTTAAAAATATATTAAAATACATTTTTTGGGTGTTAAGGATAAATGACTTGATTTTGTTTAGATTTTGTTGATTAGAAGTTACCTTTAAGTATTTTAACTCTGTTTCGGCTTCCCTTTTCCCACAGCATCACTCCACAGTCGATTGCCAAGCCTGTCAATAATATAGTTTTTAAATTGATATACATGGGAAAAAAGATATAATCATAATGTATCGTATAGATTCATGGTAAATATCAAATGTATTTCACAAAATTAAGATGATTTTGATATTCCGGCTTTGCATATTGTAGAGTTATCTTCTCTTGAGAACAGGTATTGATTGTTACATCATTGGTTTGTGAGAGTAACATCATCAATTTTTGAGAAAATGACGTAATTTTCTCACACAAACCAATGACGTAACAATCAATACCTGTTCTCAAGAGAAGATAACTTTGCAATACGCAAAGTTGGAATAGTTCACAAGGAATTTTTTTTTAAATAACCCTTACCAGTAAAAGATGTAACATGTTCAATGAGTAACGATTGTATTTACCAATGGTAAAAAATTAAAGGTTAAAAAAATACATTCTATTAGTTGTAATTACTCAATTGAGTTCAAGCTTATTATTTAGAACATTTATGCTTTCAATGTATGATTACAAATTGAAAAGTAGACCAGGTGGTACTTACCAGTAATTGTAAAATGGATATCTCTTACTGGGTATATTTATGCCATGTGTTATTTATCAGAGAGAACATTATATCAAATGTTTTAACCATTATGTACCTCATTCATGGAGAGTTTTAACCATTATGTACCTCATTCATGGAGAGTTTTAACCATTACGTACCTCATTCATGGAGAGTTTTAACCATTACGTACCTCATTCATGGAGAGTTTTAACCATTACTTACCTGTCCTTCATGGAGAGTTTTAACCATTATGTACCTCATTCATGGAGAGTTTTAACCATTACGTACCTCATTCAAGGAGAGTTTTAACCATTACGTATCTCCTTCATGGAGAGTTTTAACCATTACGTACATCCTTCATGGAGAGTTTTAACCATTCTTACCTCCTTCATGGAGAGTTTTAACCATTACGTACCTCCTTCATGGAGAGTTTTAACCATTACTTACCTCCTTCACGAAGAGTTTTTGTGTTACTGTCATACACCACAACATTTTGTTTACACTCGAGTTCTGCATCATAAGGTACACCAAAAGAACCTTCAGCATCCTAGATATTAAAAAAAGAACATTTATATTAATACAACCAATTGTCTATTTTGTCAACAGTTGTTTCTAATTAACATACGTGTGTGGACTAATGTTGAAGAAACTTCATTACAATAAAGTATTTCATAATTACTAAAGAAGTGTTTCAGGGGCAACATCTGTGCTTACCGATTATTCCCATCTCTCTGCCCTTTCCCAACCTCATTTTAGACAATTTTCAACAAGTTTCGTAGAAGTCTCTATCCAAACTTTATTAAGTATTTATGTTACATGTAAAACACTTCCATAATAACCTTAACATGATACAACAAAAAACAGAAATATGCGTTGCCACAATTTGTAAGCCACTGTTGAAAGTATTACCAGGTGACATAGAATAAAGCTGCTCTCCAAATAAGCATTCTTGAAATACATATTTACCTGAAGCACAAAGTATTAAAAATCATATTTAAAAATACACTTTTCTTCTTTACAATCACAATAGTCACAACAAGAGAAACATAATCTTATATATATGTACATTTTGCATATATAAATATTTACAATATCTTACCTTTGGGGCTTTTTTGGCAGTTACAACATGACTTTCATTGTATTCATTTTTATTCCTTGCATCTGAAATTAAACAAGTCAAAAATAACAAGCAAGAAGGTAAAATCATTATGACAAAAAGGACACTATCTGTAAGACAGGAGTATCCCCTAGGCCCTGTGGTTGAACAAATCAAAAAACAAAAGTCACTTTGGTGTTTACATTGGAACCCTGAAATACAAATCCACCTGAGGAACTCTTAAAGTTGACCTTTGCATAAAATTGGATGAAAATCTGTTAAGAAATGAAGTCAGGAGATTCTAGAGTCAAGACAATGAAGCTGGTAGAACAGCATCAACATGTTTGGGTAACTCTATAAATTCCAGCTGCCCAACTACCAACTTCTTAAAATGGTGGTAGTCTAAAAATTGGGAAGGTGAACTGAGTTATTAAAATGATGTACATTTATTCAAATGGTATTAGCAGCTCACTTTTGGCTATATTGCAGAACATTTGCCCATATGAAGGAGTCAATGGGTTCTTTCCCATTGTTTGTTTGTTTTTAAATGTAACGTTTTCAGGTAAAAATTCTGGCGGACCTGCAAATGTTTATGCAGGCCTTGCAAGGCTTTGCCAAGGCTCGCCTGAAAGCAGCATCAGATTACTAGGTCCGACCTTATTTAATAAACAAACAACTGTGGTCCAACCGTTTAAAGAAAAACAGCCCAGGTAGCCTAACCAGCGATCTCCAGCAGTTCCTAGTGGGACACTCTGCCACTGAGCTAAAAGGAAATTCCCTGTAGCTCGAAGCAAGAAGGCGACTGTAATCATATGTACAATTAAAATCTGCCACACTACTCCCCCCTTTTTACCTTTTCGCCTTCGAACACCACAACCCAGGTTCTAACTCCCCGTCACTTCACCAGGGTCACGGACACCATTTGTAACAGTTTAATAAGAGAATATAGTGTGCTTCCAACGGGATCAAAACCACGATCTCCAGGTTCCTAGTCGGACGCTCTACCACTGAGCTAAAGGGCGGGCTAATTTAACCTGTACTCCAGTAGATTAGTTATTCAGACAACAAAACTGACAGCATACTAATCGTTGGCGAGATCCGTCCTGGAATACAGCCATACAATATGGGACCCTTACCAGCAAAATAACATCCACTTGCTGGAAAAGGTGCAACGCCGCGCTGCCCGATTTATAACATCAATATGGCAAGCCAAGTTGTCATTTATTCATGGAGCAATGTTGATCCAGTACTTAACCAAATTATATAAGATATCTCATATATTATATAAGATATCTTATATATTATATAAGATATCTTATAAACATATGAGATATCTTATAAACATATAAGATATCTTATAAACATATGAGATATCTTATAAACATATAAGATATCTTATTTTAAGTTTATGAGATATCTTATATCTTTTATGAGATATCTTATATATTTTATAAGATATCTTATATACTTTATAAGATATCTTGTAAAAGATATAAGATATCTTATAAAAGATATAAGATATCTCATAAACTTTTCTTTATAAGATATCTTATATCTTTTATAAGATATCTTATATAATATATAAGATATCTTATATCTTTTATAAGATATCTCAATTAATTTTCTTTATAAGATATCTTATATATTATATAAGATATCTCATAAAAGATATAAGATATCTTATAAAGAAAAGTTTATGAGATATCTTATAAAGAACGAGACTCTCGCGAGACCGACAAAGAAGAAATGTTTGAAAATGACTGCTCCCGTTGTACTTAGATCACGAGTCCGATAAACGGGAGCTGTGTAAAACTAGCTTATTTTTCAACAGGAAGTATAACTAACACCAATATAGAATTTTAGTTGATATATTCAAATATTAATTATTATATTTACGCATACATTTTAAAATATTAGTGTTAGGAATCACACATTAATATATTCTAAAATGGCTGGAATAATCCAGAGTTATAAACTTTTCCGAAAGAAACTCGAGTGTTCTAAAGAGCCATTGAGAACTTAGAAAATGTCTGTGAAGTTGCTACATGTTTATTTATTCAAATGACAATTTAGTTTCGTTGGCCTAAAATCCAAAGGTTTAGATATAGTTCTTATTAGTGAGAATCACTGTCATTTATTAATCTGTTGTACGTCATTTTCAACCAGAATGAGACAAATGAAAGTAGTTTGCTGAGGATTTATATTGTGAAGGTGTAATGATGCCAAACTCGGTAAGAGCGCAGAAATATTGTCATAATCAGTCACCACATACTCAAATATAAAGTGAGATTTTAAAATTCATCTTGATTTATGTTATTTTTCGTACACAGCCTCGTTGAAGAATTCTAGTTTGGTTTGATTTGGGGAGGGGGGAGGGGTTTGGTTTATATTATTAATGAGGTCTTGTCTTATAGTTGATGTCAGAAAGCTAAGCTGAGTTAGTTGATTCAACATTTATCATTCACATCACTTGTCTTCTTTGTTGTAAGCAAAATTTATTGATTTCTGCTGATTTTCCTGTGTTATAAATTCATGGTTTAAAGTTTGTGTTCATGTATTTTGTGAGTTAACAGGTAAAGGACATGTACATCTGTTCAGTGTTCTTCCAAACCAATCAAATTAGTTAACCTACCCTCAGTGAGTCGCCCACCCCAAGTAGCTTGTTTAGATTTTGTCCCATTTTTCAAAGACTGTCCTATATGTTAATTTAGACCTGGTGGTATAGAATCTTGCAATCTACCAGATATAAGCAAATCTAAAATACACGAAGAATATTTATAATGAAATACAATTTATTATACCCAGGACATTAACTGCTTATTTTTACATTTGATCTAACTTGACCTCTCTAGGTTAATTTTAAGTCCAAGAAAAAATTCATAATAAAATATATTTATACTATATATGTGTACATATCACTATAGCAAGGTTATTTTATTATATTAAATTAATCTCATCATCTTTATTTATGAAAAGTGACTGGCACTAGATCATAAACTTAGGGAACTTAGATATAATTTCAAAAATGAAGAATGTCTTGTATTTCAGTTCCTTTTCCAAATTAATTTTATCACTCAGGGGAGCATATGGTACAAATAGGACTTTTCCCCCAAAGTTTGAAGCAGATTCCAAGAGAAATATTCAGTTTACTGATACATGTGCTTAACATTTGGGTTCAAGACTCAAAAACTTGTGGATAAGTATTGTATAACTCTTTTTAATAATAACATCTAGGATAGATATTTCAGCCCAAAAACATTTTTTTTTTTGATACAGAACAAATTCTGTTTGAGAATCAACTGTTTTGAACAGTTTTTTTTTTAAATATATAGCACCGACACTCAATCCATATTGATATGAAATATTTGAAATTTGAATATTTCTATAGTGCATAATTCCATAACCTTAAGTCTATAGGGACATGTCAAATACTACCAGGTACTCGTTTATATATACAATGGAAGATATTATATATAATGAATGGGCATCACAGTATATATATATATTTTGCAGCACACTTAATAAGCATGTGACATGTCCCTGTAACCCACATCTAATTATAGGTAAGTAGTGGGATTATTAGTGGAAGCCAATATCAACACATCCAACTAATACAGTACTTTAAAACAAGAGCCCCATGGGCCTAACAGGTCACCTGAGTTGTAATGCAATTGTTATTTGTTGTTGTGATATGTCAAAAATAAAAATTACATATATATATATGTATAGCAGGGAATTTTGCCCCTCACCAGGGAGGAATTAGTACCCAAGGGGTTGTGAAATTCACATTTTGATTAAGCACATCAGGATATTTCCATCCATGAGAAGGTTTTTTAACATATCTGGATCTGGAAGTAGACAATTATTGTTTGAGCTATTTTGGCCCCTTTTGGCTCCGCCCCTCAGGCCCTTAGCGTCCACATGATCACATCATGTAAATGTATCCCCTCCCCAAGAGTAAAAGGGCGACAATTGATAAAAAAAACCTTAAGATATACACCTCATATACATCAGATATACACCTTCTAAACATCAGGTATATACCTTCTATACATCATGTATACACCTCCTATAGGTCAGGTATACACCTTCCATGCATCAGGTATATATACCTTCTATACATCATGTATACACCTCCTATAGGTCAGGTATACACCTTCCATGCATCAGGTATATATACCTTCTATACATCAGGTATACACCTCCTATAGGTCAGGTATATATATACACCTTCCATGCATCAGGTATATATATACCTTCTATACATCAGATTACACCTATACATCAAGTACATCTTGTATGCATGCACATATACATGAGGTATATGTAAGGTCCATATTCTCTGTAGGTAAGGTACCTCATCTTTATAATAGTTGTCTGATATTGGTTCATATTGATTGCATGCACAGGAAATATAACATGTTTGCTTGTGCTGGAGTTTCCCATTTATGTTCCCTTATTGTGGCCTCTCAAGAACAAGAAGCACAGGCACATTATTAATAGCTCACCTGGAATAATATTTTTCATTAAAAGTTGTTGATTACCTCTTACCATACAGGAAATATCAGCTTGGGGATCTCAACAATTTCCATGTTATGACTGAAGGAGTAAGTCCTCAGGGATGGGGTGGGCTCCATTAGGGACTATCTTGGTATCATGAGTGTTTTTCCTCTGCATGCCCAGCAGCATTTGGATGGGATCTTTACTGATTTCATGTAAAATTTGGGGACTATAAGCCCCTTGTGGCAGGGCAGGACCCTGGCGCCAATCATGTAAGCATGGATGTATTCAGATGGTTACATGGTGGGGGATCTTAATTATCTTTACACCCAAACTTCCTCTATTGGCACCCAAATGCTCTGGCCCAGTGACTGATTTGCCTCTGTTTTTTTCAGACCTGAGATATGCTACAATTACAGGTTTTTGAAGATGAAATGTCTTATTTTCCTCTTTACCGGAAATATACCATGTATATACTTTGTATCATGTACATTGTATCTTCTGGAAAATGAGTCAATACACTATATATAATAGAGATGATAAATACAGGTACCTTATGCAATGAGGCTGTATTATAGAGGATACCCTTACTAAATAAATAAGGACTTTTTATGTACCCTGTATACCACTCTCTATATACCATTCTTTATATACTCTGTAAACCACTTCTTATTTACCCTGTTTACTAGTTTGTATAATCTGTATACAAATCATTATATAACCTTCTCAATATTTCTTTATAAAGATATCTTTGTTGTGTTTTATAATAAACAAGAGGCACTGAGTTAGGACAAGTCTTTCTAACAAAAGTGTATCCAAGTTTTGATGCTCAGCAATATATTATATATATATATATTACTACATCCAGGTATAACACATGTAGTTACTACTACTGACAGGTATTACACATGTATATATTATCACAGATAGGTATTACACATGTAGTTACTACTACAGACAGGTATTACACATGTATATATTATCACAGATAGGTATTACACATGTAATTACAACTACAGACAGGTACTACACATGCATATACTATCACAGATAGGTATTACACATAAATACTACTACAGACAGGTATTAAACATGTACTACTACATACATGTATTACACATGAATATACTATCACAGACAGGTATTGCACATGTATTTACTACCACAGACAGATCATACACATGCATTTACTATCACAGACAGGTATTACACATGTATATACTATCACAGACAGGTAATACACATGTAATTACTACTATAGACAGTTATTACACATGCATATATTATCACAGACAGGTATTACACATGTATATACTATCACAGACAGGTATTACACATGTAATTACTACTACAGACATGCTGTAAGTGTTACCATGTATCTGGCTTGTGTGAAATGCCTTTTAGGTCACAAAATACAATTGTATCTCTACAAAATATATCTTATAAGTGATCAATATCTCAAAGACTTTAAAGAACATGCACCTGATGATGAAATATCACTTATCTGTATACATATGTATCAAATAATGAAATATTACTTCTTGTCTGTAATAGTATAAGTAAATACAAGTTTATAACCAGTTTGAAACAATGAATTAATGTTCCTTACATTACAGTATATTGATAGAACATAGAATTACAAATACATAAGTATGTTCTTTAATGTCTGTGATAGTTAAAACAATTTTATCTGAAACAATATAATTAAAGATACATAGCCTGTCTGTGATAATAAATACAGGTGTATGACCAGTCTGAAACAGTAAATAAAAAAAAATGTCCCCATGTCTATCTATATGTTATACTCCACAGAGACCAAAATGGCTTTAATGCGGTCTGTGATAAGCAGCCGAAACAATTAATAAATGTTCCTAATATGTTTAATGTCAATTACCTGTCTGTGAATTTGTACGGGTAATATTACAATTTTATCAAATTTCTTTAAAAACATTTAGAGGAAATCCGTGAAGAAAATCAAGATAAAACATTTTAATGAATAAATTGTAAGTAATACATGCAGTAGGATCGTTTTCCTTCAGTTATGAAATACATAGGAACATCCATTTCTCCACCACTTACCCCCCATCTACTTTATAAAGCTTAACCTTTTAAAATAATGTTAATACCGCTATAACCAGACCTATTTGGTGGCATTAAACTCCTACTTTCACTTTCACATACTTCATTTCCGGTTAAGAGATACGTACGAAACTAAGGCTTTCGATTTAATGCTTTACCGAGCGCTGTGGAGGAGGGTTTATTATCTCAAATTCAAATCTCGTTCTTTATAAGATATCTTATAACCGAATTATATAAGATATCTCATTTAATTTTGTTTATAAGATATCTTATATATTATATAAGATATCTTCTAAAAGATATAAGATATCTCATTTAATTTTCTTTATAAGATATCTTATATCTTTTATGAGATATCTTATATAATATATAAGATATCTTATATCTTTTATGAGATATCTTATAAAGAAAGGTATATAAGATATCTTATAAAATATATAAGATATCTTATAAAGTATATAAGATATCTTATAAAGTATATAAGATATCTCATAAAGTATATAAGATATCTTATATAATTAAATAAGATATCTCATATAATTTGGTTAAGTACTGGATCAGCATTGCTCCATGCATAAATGACAACTTGGCTTGCCATACATCAAACTATAGAAGGGACAGCAGTGTAACAGAAATAAAACTAACACCACTAAAGGATCGCAGGCGAGACCATCGGCTTGCCCTCTTTTATAAGATCGTGAAGGGGCTAGTGGCCATACCTGTAGATCACATTGACTCCATTAAACACCCCTACCAGATCAAAAAATAGTGAAAATTACCGACATTTCTAGTGTAATACGGACATATTACAAAAATCATTTTTTCCTCGAACAACAACAGTGTTTTTGGGTAAATCGGCGTGCCCATAACAGAGTGGAATAACCTACCAGAAGACCTCGTCGAAAATGCAAGAACTTAAAAGCTTCAAGACAGCACTACAAACTGAAACAATATAAAATATAAGCGCACTCCTCCAACCCTGGAATTTATACTCAAATTTGAGGTCTTCCAGTAATATACAGATACAAATTGTGTTGTATCAAATCGCTTTAAAATACTTTCAGCGAACTGAAATAAAATGTCAGATTCTTACCTATCAAAAGTAAATAATTAGGATCGCTTAAATTAGAGTATATAGTAGCCTGTTGCAGCATATTATAAAGGTCGGTCGGCTCTAAAACATCAAGTCCTTCCACTTCCATTTTGATAGATTTAACTGCTCCACATATACATCCACTTCTATGTTTACTTGCAACATGTGCTGGAACCGGATAACAGCGATTGTATACAAATATCCTTACACTTTCAAGTTATAGTTATGTCCCTATTTGCTTCAAAAAGCTTATATATCAACGAATTCAGTTTACGGTAAAAATTAGAAACTTTACAAACAATTAAAGACACTTTTTTGTCATATTGTTTTTGATGAAAAAAAGATAAGTCAAAAAATATATTTCGTCGGTTGTCAAGTGCGCATTGATATCAAAAAGTAGGTCAACGCAAGCGTGCTAAGACTTAAATGACTTCCGGTTTAAGCTCATTACAGCATCTAAAACCGAACCTGAATCGGGAATTAATTTCCAAAACTGTTCAATACATAATACATATAATACAATTATATAATTTTGTTATCTTCTATAACCAAATAATAATTGAATTTTTCGGATAAGATTAAAATGAAGTTTTAACAAATTCAAGAAAATTTAAATGAATATCGCTCAATCTCAAGGTCAAATATTCCGGATTTACGGTAATATCAAATTAGACACAACCTGTCATTGAGGCCATCTTGGAATTTTGGAAAGGACACCGGTACATAAAACAACTGCACAAACATGTTTTCCAGGCTTGCAAGACCAGCTATTTCAAAATGCATCACACAGAGAACATTCACAACATCATCAAAGGTAGGTTTGATACATGACATTGGTTGAAAATTATTAGATTATAGTTTAAAGTTGCTTATTGAAAGTCAACAAAGTGAACAGCTTTGAAGCATGTGTTACATGCCGGTAAGATATCATTTAATTATTTAAGGTTAACTAGTGTAAAGTCAGCTTAATTTACTGTTTAATTGGTTCGTGTTATTTTACCGTCGAATTTAAAAAAAAAAAAAAACACCTCTTAAGTCAGAGCGAGAATTGATGCAACCATTATGTACGTGTATACCGTCCTTGATGAAATGTTGCAGAACATTTGAAGGCCAACTTGGTGATCACGTACATGGCACATGTCAAGTTTTGATAATTTAATTTTATTGGGAGAAAATAAGGGTTCATTTCCCTTATTGAATTTTAGCAATAATTGTCACATTTTGATATATTTTTGTTTTGTTTATGCACGTCAAATTATCCTGAAAGTAAAGTGTCGGTCGTATAATATTATACGTATATTTAATGGCTTTGACCCAATTTTAATGTCATTTCAATTACAGGTTATAACTTCAGAAAAAAAATTGAAACGAAGAGAAATAGAATGAGCGACATAAATTTAAGACATTCTAGATTTTTTAATTCACATCATACATCAGCTGAAACTGAAATACAATTAATAGCTTGGCACTTTCAATTGCAAATTTAAAGTAAATCTATGACAGCAAGTTTACATTGTCACCATCATAAAGTGTATCCGCCTACATCATTTTAAAAAAAAGCTTGGTTTTCAAATGAATTTTCAGTGACAGTTACACTGATGCAACTATAAATGAAATTTTCAACATAACTACGTATACAAGGCTAGTGGAATTGTTCACCACTAAAGTGTTTTATTTACCTAGCAAGGTGTATTCAAATTTGACCTATTGAACAAATAATTCTTCTCTACATATCCTTGGTAAAACTAAAACCAAGTTTAAGATACAAAGTGTTTATGAATTACCTAACTTCCTAATATTTAAGTGGATATACAGTCTTAGTTATTTTATTCTTGGCCTAAATGTTACTCTGACAAGATGGCATCCATCAGAATCACAAATATGAAATAATAGCCACCAAAGCCCAATAAATATAAATAGCATTCATCATATCATATTAATATAATATTACTTCCAATACTTATGTGCTGACATTTTTGTTAACAGGACAGTGCTAAAGTAGCAGTGTTAGGAGCCAGTGGGGGAATTGGACAGCCCCTGTCCCTCCTACTGAAGACCTCGCCAGCAATTTCACAACTGTCCCTATATGATATAGCACACACACCTGGAGTAGCTGCTGACCTCAGTCACATTGAAACACCTGCAAAAGTCTCCGGTCATATGGGTCCAGACGAACTAGATGCCTGTTTAGAAGGAGCTGATGTGGTGCTTATACCTGCTGGTGTGCCAAGAAAGCCAGGTGAAAATCATCACTGTAACCTTTAATGTACACATTATACCTTCATTAATTTGTTTCAAGTGATTTCTCCCTTGAACATGTTAGAATATGACATTATTAAGATTTATCTAGATATCAGTATATACTGTACCTTTCAAATTAGTCCAACAAAAACCGTCTTCAAAGGGAACAGTTTTTTTTGTAGGAGGTTTTTAGGTCACCTGAGACAAAGTCTCAAGTGACCTATTGCGATCGCCTTTTGTCCGTCGTGCGTCTGTAAACAATTAACATTTTCGACTTCTTCTCCAAAACCCCTGAACCATATTCAATGAAATTTTGCAGGGACCTTCCATGGACAAAGGTCAACAAAAATAGTTGCCGGTTTAGTCCTAAGCCCCCAGGGGCCTGAGGGGCGGGGCCAAAAAGGGTCAAATTGACTAAAATTTCAAAAATCTTCTTCTC